ACATTGGAAACCAGGGCGCGAAAGAAAGTGTTTCAAGCCTCGCAGAGGTTGGCTCGAACTCATCCCACTGAATAAATGGCTCGAAGGCTGGTTGAAAAGGCGAGTCCGATGCAGAGAGCGGGGCAATAGAGGTGTCCAGTTCCCAAAGAGAAGCATAAGGCGCTTTGAACGGAAGCAAAGACCGAACTTTGTCGTCGATGGTTACTTCCTGGCTGCGAAATCCGTTTCGCAAAAGATAAGCAACAAGCTTGTCGCGGCCTAACAGAAGAGCAAGCTGAAAAGCTGACAGCAGCTCTGTACTTCGGAATAAGCAGTCCCGTTGGGATTCAAAGACATCAGTACCGCAATGACCGAGGAAGCAGTCGTACGGCAGTCTCCTTTGAAAATCCGCCCCCAACTGCTGAGCTCTTTGAAGTACACATAGTGAAACGGGGTCGTCTTCGCACTCGGAAATCGCCCAGGCAACACAACGAGGAACGGGCGATTGTAAGTCTCGCTGGTAAAGCAGCGGCGTACAGATAACCCGAAAAAGCTTGCTGCACAGCGCTAGTAATCGGAGACTCTTATCATCGCAGTATGCCATTACCATTGCAAGGATCTCCGGCGGCAAGTAGATGGAGCTAGAGGGTCTCTGGGAGGGCGTAAGTTCACCGGGGATTGCTGACATGGCGTGATTCTGGTCTCCGTGGCTCAATGCTAGTGCGTAGCTTGAAGTGGTGAATGCTTATTGCAATTATCTTGGGCTTGACTTAATCCAATCATAGCAGACATCCTTTGATCCAGTCATTGAAGAAATCTTGAATGCTCGAGAATTCTGATGGCCAATCGTACTGATCAAATAATCCTATGCGCTGGCTTCGTCCAGATCTGGGCACGAGTATCGAACATCACTAAAGACGCACAATTAAATGCGTCTCCGGCTCAAATCCCCGATATTTTCTTCTGCGTGATCATTGTCACAATCGCGTGGAACCAAGCTTGCCCGGACGAGTAAAATATGACTTGGTGACGCATGAAGGAGGCAGATCCTAGAACCGTCCCCAGCAGCACGATCAAGACCAGGGCTTCCTCTCCATTTTACCTGCCTGCGCGATCCACATCTCGCTCTAGCCAGGGACCAGTTCTGGTGATCGTCCATGCTATGTAGAACCCCAGTAGCTACCTTTTGTAAGCTGGGCGCTGGATATAGATCTACCGCTTGTCTACATTCATTGGATGGAGACTGGACACAAAACTGCTTAACAGATTAGTTTGTTGACCGGAAGCGAATCGCTTGTGCAGTCGTTCTGAGATATTGTACAATCGCTCTGGTCAAGCCGAGAGCAGCTGATTTCGGCGCTGTTCGGGCGGACCCAGAAAGTATCTAACGTACCAAGACGTGTTGTTTTCAAAGAGTGCAAACGACCACAAGACCATTACAATTCAATCCATCAGGGCAGCTGCGGACTCCTCGTCAAGTCATCAAAGGTTCTTTCCACCCGTGCATGTTGTCGTGCTCAGCACCAACACAGTGACATCTCAGAAGGCACGCAAACTTCCAGGTCTGACATTTCGGAACACAACAGCATTGACACATAATTATTGAGTGTTCGGTACGGTATCTAGTCCGCGCTCAGACTACCCACAGTACACTACCACACGCACCGATCCAAATACGTTGTCATCCATATTTTAGTCGCACACGACGCTAGATCCGATGGACTCCACAAAGAAGGTCCAGGCGTCCGTGATAAACGCCGGATGCCGCTTCTCTCGTCCGGCATCTAGCCGACGAGCTCACGTCATCATTGCAATGGCTTTACTCATCTCCATCAGCACCTACTTCCTGCACAGCCTCGACGATCGCGTATTACGTCGATCCTTTGAGGTCAGTCTTTTGCAGCAAATCCTTTATAGACCGTCGATCTCATGCGCCAACGAGTATCATCAATATTCTTGGTCTCTTTCACTGTCAGAGCACTCCATACCGCCCCATATCTGGCAGATCAGTGTACCGAAAGCCAACGGCATGAATGACTCCGCGAGATGGACGACGATGGAGCACATCAGCACGTGGCTGGCCCTCAACGGAGGACATACGTAGTAAGTTGGCTTTGTCTCTGTACAGCACGAGCTGAGACCCCACAGCGCTCTAGTCGACGGCAAAAGCAGCAACAGCTTTGTGAAGTCACACTACGGTAATACCTCCGATGTTTATCACACGTACGAGAAACTGGGCAATGCTGGTATGGGGTCTAGTCTGCTTCGATATCTCCTCCTGGAAGCTGGAGGCGGAATCTATACCGATCTAGACACTGTCGCCCTGAAGCCCATTGATACATGGGTTCCAGGCCATCTGCAGAGTCGTGTCCGCTTAGTTGTCGGCATCATATACGATCAGCAAGACCATGCGCCACAAAAGGACAAAGCTTACCCGTTGCAGTTTGCCCATTCGACAATTGCTGCTGCACCTGGGCATCCGGTTATCCACAGC